CTGAACAAGCGACTACAACTTCAGGAAAACCAAATTTGAAGTCAATAATCTGCATTTTTGTTATGAATTTAATGGTTTCAAGTTACTGCTGAGATTCGTCATTCACAAACCACTGCAAAATTTTTGTTCAACCAAAAGAAGATCTATGGTAATTGTTATTAAAAAATCAAAAAGAATACAAGTAAACAAAATAAAGATACAACTTTTAAATTAAACTTTCAGAATTTCATTTACCTTTATGTGTACCTCAAATCGCTAGTCGCCGACTGCAGTTACAGTAAAATAACTGACCAGTTTGCATTTACTAAGGATAATGGAAATAACCCCGGACAGCGGTTGGAAACGACAGCAACAGCAAATTGACATAATTTTATAAATCTGGTTCATTTCTTAAATTGCTTTTGTTATTGCTCCAAAGGGCAACATGGGCCTGGTAAATTTCTTTCACTGTCGTTGTCTTATAAATTATCATAAGAAAACCTAACGATAGGATCTATCATTAAAACCATCAATGGTGACAGAAAAAATTATTTGAAAAAAAAAAAAAAACAGGACACTCTTGCGCTTTGACGACCCTAGCGCACTGATTTTTTGATTGCTTTTTTGGTGTGGGAAAGTTGAAGAAGGGGACAGTGACGGGGACAGTAGCAAAGCGGAGGGTAGAACAGCAAAGAGGAAGAGGACAGGAGCGACGGGAAACGGGGAACAGCGGTGGCGCAGCAGGACTTCGCTTCGCCTCGCTCTTTCAAAAAACCTTTTTTCCACTGGTCACCGCTAATTTGTCGTCATCAGTAAACTGTTTCAAGTGTGACGTCTACCGTATGGTTAACGGTAATGTTTGTAAAACTGTCTTCGAGCAAGTGGGCCGCAAACTTCATTAATTCTCAGATTCTTACACAATTTCTGCATAGTTATTAGCCTCGTTCGCACTTTTGCCTCATAGTCGGAACTGTTCCTGTCAGCTAGGTAAATATGAGACTCTGATGTGTATTTATTGTAATTTAACTTCAACACTTGTAACACACTCAATAAACTTGCTTAGTTTGAGTTGTAGTACTCACTGCACTTTGAACGTTTGAAAAAATTTACCTTTGAAGTGCAATTTTGCTGTCTGCGCAAAAAAATGAAAACGAAAGTTTATTGAATGACCAAATAGCGAAGAATGCTGGGTCACA